ATAGTCTGACCCATCGGTCTTCATATGTTTCAAGCTGCTTGCAGGTATCTCATCTACCGTGGTAGCGGTCTCATTGGGTATCTGGCATATCGATGCCCTTATATCTGACTCGCTCATGTGAATTCTCGAGCTTTACAGCATGAGTGGCTCATGATTTTCTCGAGGGCTTTTCTCGGCCATTTGCATTCTACATGCCATTCGTGCTCGCCAATTCCGTCTTGGGGGGATTTTCGAGCAGTTTCCTTCTCTGATCATTAGAGGTCGTCGATTTTGCTCCGCTCTATTCCACTTGTAACTCCAGAATCTTTCCGAAAGCTCGTGACGAGGGTCCACTCGTATTTTCCGTCCAAAATTCTCGTTACTCTTTCATTCTTCTTTTGAAGATGCTTTATTTTGGAATCCGAACTCCGTTCGCCCAATTTCGCATCGTTTTCGGGTCGTTCATCGCTCCCCTCCATTTTTCATTCGCGTCTTCCTTCTCACTAAGAGCTCTCTTCAGCTCAGGTGCTTCAGTCTCCGTTTTCTCGATTGCGATATTCGCTGCTATGAGTTTGCTTATAATTCCAATCTTCTTCGTCTCCTGTTTGGTATATTCCACGACTCGCACTCTGTTTGCGATCTCGCGCACCGCTCACAGAGCATTTCGCTGCATGCGAGGGCGGAGCACAATCAAATCTGACACGGTCATGGTACCCTTTCGCACAAACTCATACGAAGGGAATCGTGAGAGCTGCTATAACGACTGAAGTTCAAACCACTTGATTAGAGAGCACGGTGAATATTTTCGCGATCGCTGCGGGCCTTTTGGACAGAATATGCGGTGCAAGATTCGCCCGGAAGTACGGTTCACTACCGAAAGCCAGAATCGCAAAAGCCAGAATCGCAAAAGCCAGAATCGCAAAAGCCAGAATCGCAAAAGCCAGAATTGCAAAAGCCAGAAATCGCAGAAGCCGGAATCGCAACAAAGAACGACAAGGCAAGGCTGGACCCGAGCGCGTAAGCTCTACTTGCTCCCACGTAAGGCTTGTGTCGGCGTCCCTACTCTGGATCCGTTCTTTGCTCTTCTGCGAGACGAGCATAGTCTATGCCCAAGGAGACGCCATTGGCTTCAGGAGGCCGTGAGAGAGCGCCGGCGACTACGTTTTCAGATCCAGAAATGTGCTGAATGTCCGATGTCAATTCGGCTATGAAAGCAAGGTGGCGCTGCTGCCTTGCGGATAGGGGCGAGCTCTTCTACGCGATGCTGAACATGAGGGGTTTGTGGTCCGTGAAGATAGTGAACGGTCTCCCTTCTACGTTGTGCAGGAAATGGCGGCATGCAAGGTACTTAGCCAAAAGCTCCCTATCAAAAGTACTGTAGCGTGTCCCCGGGTCGCTCAGCTTACGGCTGAAGAAACCCAAGTGTTGCCATGCCCCGTCTACCATCCGCTGGAGTACGGCCCCGACAGCAACATCTGACGCGTCAGTTACGATGGCAAGAGGTACGTTCTCAATCGGGTGGGCTAGTGGGGCAGCCCGTGCGAGCAGGTCTTTAGTCTTCTGGAAAGCGGCTAGAGCTTCGTCGCTCCACGGAACAGAAGTGTTCTTCGCCCTGGGATCAACATTGAGGATGCAGATCAGCAGTGTCATTTTTTCAGCCGCACGCGGGAGGAATCGGTGATAATAGTTCACCATGCCAATGAATCTCTGGAGCTCGACCATCTTGCCTGGGCGTGGAAAAGTCTGTATACTCTCCACCTTCCCTGGCAGTGGTGAGATTCCTCCTCCCGAAACTTTATGCCCGAGAAAATCCAGAGACGAGAGCCCGAACTCGCACTTCTCTGCGTTTACCACGAGTCCCTAGCTCTCAAGTCGTTGAAGGACCATACCGACGACTTGGAGAGCCCAAACATCGAGCTCATGGTCAAGCCGGGAGCATCTGACCATATCCGAATGCGCAAACGAACGGAAGGAATTTCTAAAGGTGAGTTCGGCTTCGGTGATGCTGCTACAGAACCAGGTTTCGCAAAGGAAGATGATGTCGACGTTGAGCTTTAGGCAAAGTATTTGGATTGCCTCTAAGGCTTCCGGTTTGGCAGCAGATCGGGGGTTGAGGAGGCAGCATTTCAGTCCGAGGAAATCCTCGGTACGCTGAGTCCGTTTGGGGGAGTCGCAGCGCGAGCGACTGAACTCGGAATCGATCCGATCAGGATACAGTTCACCGAAGTAGGTTTCGATAATTGTTCCGATGCCCCAGAATTTGGAATCGAGACGAATTTGTTCATCGGCCTCGGAGTCCACATATAGACAGAAGGAGTAGTAGGAATCATGTTGAGTCTTGACTCGATAAACAGTCAGGGAGCCAGTGAGTCTCGGTTAAAGTTTCGATATAGTTCGGCGGCGGAAAACCCGGATGCTATTCGAGAGATGAAGACTCGCTTCTTGAAAACCCTCTTGATGACGGGAGCAACAGGATCTTCCAGGGACGCGGTCCCAATGGTGGCTCGAGGTGCTAGAGAACGACTACCACTCCTGTATCGCTTCCGAGCGGTGGCCGAAGCGGGAGGAGTGAGGTGGCTATGAGTCAAGGCATATCACTGGAACTCGTCTCATAGGTGAACGACCGGCACGATCGATAGCTCGAGAAATCGAAGCATCAAGTTCACTCGAGAGCTTGAGGGCGTAGAGCTCACTACGGGTCTCGATCAAATCAAGCAAGCTCGGACTTCAGTACCGACATCTGAGTGCGAATCTGAGGGTTTTGTTTGATCATGAGGTTCGAAAGGTCAGCCAGCTGTTTAGCGACCATGAGGTGTGTTGCCCGCGTGAACGGCTCGACTCGGCATGAGATGCGAGCATTCACATAATTCGCTACCTTGGTGGCAGGGAGGCAAGATTGGTGAGACAAAAAGCCGCAACCGAAACTGTAGAAGAGGACAGGCTCAGACGTATCGGTGTTGCACAAGGAGCAGATGAGATCCATGCTGTTAGGTCTAGCACGTTCGCGACGACGAATGAGATCCGATAGGCAGGTAATCGGGGCGACGTATCAGGGTCGGACGATGGGTGAGTTCTCCGTGCACAGAGTGATGAATTAGACGACGCAGACGAGTAATAAGTCACAAAGTGAACCGAAACTTCTCCAGGTGTAAGGAACACGTTTCGCCCGCGCAAGGTAGCAGACGACAATGCCGCATTATTTGAGCAAGTTTCGATGAATCGTCACACTAGAGCGAATCCTCGAGCCAAGACATTACAGTCCCTGTGGGTGACCCCTCCACATCGAGGGACCGTTTTTCTGCCTTTGATTCCGACCCAGCGGCCGAAAGCGAGAACCCCGCGAAGATAACCCATGAATAAATCCTTCTGAATGAATGATTACGTCTTCAAGAAGGTGCCATTCGGTAATTCGAGAGTCTGATCACCCCGTCCATCAGCCACTGGACATTTGACCGCCGCCAGCTCGTTGGCTCTCTTGAACGAATATACAACCACAGGGGTACGGCATACCGAGATTCTCGACCTGGATCTCACGCATTTTCTCTTCGTCTTACTCGACCAATCTAGAGGGCCGGATATATCGGCTCGGACGCGTACGGATTCCTCCGAGAGGGCGCGTCTCAAGGGCACCGCACCGCTGGCAGGACGCTCTTTGAGGCGCATCCCTCGCTCGTGGAACTCCGGTTTTGATGGCTGATTTTAACCTGGTTCATCGCTCCCAGTTGCATGTCGAGGGTCTACGATTTCTCAGTTTGAGATTACCTGGCTGACGATAGTTTGCCGAGAAGCCTATCGCATGATAGGAACCTCTCATTGGTGATAGATGCCGTGGCCTATGGTGAAAGCCGGAGGTGCGCTCGAAATAAACTTTCCGAAGATACTCCACATCACGCGGGCCGCTCATGCCTCACATCGAGTAGCGAAATAAGTTCGAGACATGTATCTCGATGTCGAAGAAATCGTCGCTGGTAGAAAGGTCTTCCGCAAATCGCCAGACAGAATCTCCTCGTCTCGGGAGCTCGCACCACAACCAGCTCCGCCACCGCAACCAGTTCTACTCATTCAGAGAGGGTCATCTCAAGGAATCCTGATAATCCCCTGCTGGGGAAAAGAGCGGAGATCCATGCGGGGAGCTCGATGAATAGTGCAGGTCGTGTGGGATAGCGTCTTTCAAGCACGCTCCCATAGCTCCCGTTCACGAAGGGGCGAAATGGTACTCGAAACAGGACAAAAGTCATGTCGGAAATCCGATACCGATTGATAGCTCGACACGACAAGCCTCGAAGTCGACGAAGCGTACAAACTTCGGGATTTTCCGCTGCTGCCAAGGTATACAGGAAGATGAACGTGGGGGTAGGGATGTGCCAATGATATGACGCTCCTTTCCGAACGATGAATTCGAAGAACGGAGTCGCTCCGCCCTCCCCCTAGGGTATGATTCGATTCTCCAAGCTCACTTCCTGTCCGGATCCTCAGTCCCAACCCGATTCTGATCAGTTCCGAGATTCCTCAAGGTTGACACGATGTCACTCATGAACTCCTCCTTTCGTCGAGCTTCGCCATGCTCGAAGTATCTTGTCTACTCCCGCCCCTGGAAGCTGTCTGGTCGGAGAGACACTTCGGACCTGCCGCTACCACCGACCCAGCTCATGCCTGGAGGTTGCGCCGTTCTTCTCGGGCGCCTCTACTTTTATCCCCTCGATTATATCAAGCACCGATCGCTATCAATGATTCATATCGCTCACAGTTCCCCTTGATAACGATTCAGGGCGCGCGGGAGCGCATGAAGATTAGCGCGTTTACTCTCATGACTAAGAATTACGCCAAGACGAGAGAACCCGCTAAAAATCATCTTATGAGTAGGGATGGGAAAAATATGCGTAAAAAAATCTGGAATATGCATGCGTTATGATCGAAAAAAAGGACCGGATATGCTTCAAAATATGCGCAACCATCGGCCTATTTTATTTAACTCTCGCTAATTGTCCAATTTAAAGAAGGTCAAGTTCGACTAATTCTACTCACTGAGTTTGGTTACACGCGACGATAACGAATTTTTTAAGATTTTCGAAGAGAAACCGGTGTCGGTTGTCGCGGAAGATGTTTTTGTACCTAGAAAACGTTCGCTCTACTTCACAAGACACAATGGGAGCGAATTTGAGGACGAGGAGGTCTTCGACGGGAATGTTTGCCAGATCGTCTACAACCTCACCTCGCATGACATCCCGTATTCGGCACAGCTCAACAAAGCCGGTATTCCCATCGATAACATTCTCGAACTTCCGAGAAATCGCTCGAAGATCCGCGGGGAGCAGTTCCATTTTTCTCCGTAAATTCTCCACGATATGCGTGGACCTCTCTAAAGAAAGTCCGTACTCCTCAAGCGCAGTTATGCAGTGGGGTATGTCGGAAAGATTCGAGGCGATCGCGACAAGATTGGCTCGGATCGTTTCGTCAAGAAAGAGATTCTTTGCTTCCTTGATTGACCCCGCATCTTTCTCATCCAAATCTTCAAGCACGAAGTTCCTCAAGATTTCGAAATTCTCGGCGTAGTACTCCGCTGTCTTAATCCAAGAGCCCCACCGTGTCAGAACCGGCTTTGGAGGCAGTGGTAGCTCGACGCGCTCCCTGAAGAGTGCGATCCGGCACGGGGATTTCAAGAGCACCATTTTCATAGACGCAATCAGTCGATCTACTTTTGGGAAGAGGGTACGGGCTTCTTCCGCGACTCTGTGCAAGCCGTGAGCAATGCACGTCAAGTGAATCAAGCGCGGGAACAAAATTTTTCAAAACTCTTCGCTGCTTTCACCATGTAG